AGTATGCCCTCTGTTCATATTAACTATTACTAGGATCAGCTGTATGATCTTGGCCAGGCCACTTAGCACCCCTGAATCTCATTTAACTCGTGAATTAGAGGAAGAATACCTACCTTGCAGGGTTATTGTGAGTCTTAAATGAAACTTAATATCCTCAGAAAATTCCAAGTACTACACAAATTTAAGCCTTTATTACTTTAACTCACAAACATGTGATTAATTATTCTTCATTAAGCTGCTAATAGTGGACCACAAATCTTATGCAGCAACACTATAAGCCATGCTTCCTTAAAAATCTTCTTGTTTAAATGAAAAAGTTGAGTAAGAATTACTAAGACCAAAGAAATTTAAAAATCCATAAAATACCCTTATTCTTCATTTCTATTTTTTATAAACATAAAATGGTTATTATAATTTAATTTACATAGATTGCCTTCTGGTAGCTCTTTCTTTTAGCATAACCTGAGTCATGCATTTTGTTTTAAATACCCAGAGGGGAATTCTGCTCTGTAGAGTCACAGAAGTTCCCTATGTCATATTACAACCTGCTTCTGAGCAACAGCAGCAATGCTAGCTCTGACTGGCATTCTGCTCCCCAAATCTATTGAAATAGAAGGTTTAAGCACCACAGAATTCCTGATAACAGAACTTGCAGTATCTTTAAGGCTGTTACAAAAGAAATTTAGCTGAGGGAACTCTCCTGATTTGCCACACAAAATATATAAAAACCAAGTATGAAAGTAAAGATATATTAAAGTAATTAGAAATCATTAAATTGATAAGAAATACTTTTGTTTCTAAGTGGTGAGGATCTGAGGAGTAGGGGTCAAGATCTCCTTATTAACTTGGCCAGAAATGAAAGCATAATTTCTGTTGGTCAACAAAACAGGTGTCAATCACCAAAACTGCATTTTGCTTGAAAACAAATAGGAAGCATTTTTCTGGATAGCTTTCATCTAAATAAAAGGTAGCAACCTGCCCACAATTCTAGAATGGGTTCTGTTTCTTACTCTCACTTTTCTAATAAAATATTGAATAAGAAGCTACAATCCTTCCTAATTCTTAAACTTGCCAACCACTGCAAGTGATGCAGTGTGGCACAGATCTTCCTGTAATACCTGACCCTGCCACATTAACCAATCTAGAAAACAGGCATAGTAACTTTACACGATTATCCCTTTAAGAATTCCGCTAAACAGAAATCACCTAAAGCTTTTTACTGAAAGATTTGCTTTTTATTTTCTATTTCTTTGATACTTTTCCCACTCAAGTACTTTCTTGGTTTAGTCTTTCGCTCATTTTTTCCCCAATGTGGCTGTAGTATATTTCTGGGACTCTTTAACGCATTTCTAGAATATAAAAAATGTTCCATAATAGTTTGCTTTCTTTTTCTGCTTCATAATGGTCTCATTTCTGTGATGTCAAAGCCTTATACCTTTTCCCTGGCTCCCATTTCAAATATAGAAGGAGAAAGCACGTAAATAAAACAAAAACATTGAACAAGCTAAAGAAAAACCCAAAAAGGTAGGAAACATTCTGCAATATCTGCAACTCCTTCAGAAAGTGGAAAATAGAACGAAATTTACGACCAATGAACTGAAAGTGCCAATTTCCAATAATAGCTAACATATTTTACCAAGACAATTGGTGAATGGCCTCTTAACGATAATTTTTTCTATAAATAAAAGTATTGAAAACCAATAGTAAATGCTGAAGAATGTACTATACTATTTTCCTCTTTCAACTGCTCTTTTCCTAAAGAGACTGTAAGTTTTTTTAATGGAATGAATTTATAGTCCATATTTTTTCCCTTTCTTTCATTATTTGTAACTTTTTCACCTTTCTTAAATCTTTCTCATGCTAGCAGACTCAGATTAGATATGATCTCCTTCAGTAGGCCTTCCCTGACATCCAAGTTGGGTTAAAACTTGATATTTATGTTTTCACAATACCTGGCAGTACTCACCCCCATTACATTAACATTATCTGTTTCCTGAACCTGTTCTCCTACTCTAAGGTAGGACTTAATCTCAGTCATCTTTCTATTCCCAGAAATAACACTGACAAAATACTGTGTACGGAGTATGTATTTGTTGGATGCCATCAAGAAAGTCTTAAGACACAGACAAGTACAATGTGACCACGTAACAACTGCTAGTCTCTCTCCTGCCTCCACACCATCACAGATGCTGTACATCCTGAGTGAATGGCTATCTCTCCCATGGCCCAGCTAACTCCCTGTCCCTTTTAAAGTCTCAGCTGTCATTTTCTCTAGGACTGCTGAACTAGTAAGCCGGAGTTAGGAGCCCAGTCTATGGCCTCCTTTATCTAATTTTCTTTATTATAGGGCTCTGCTTCAGTGAACTCTTTGCTTGTCCAAATTCTCCAATTAACTATGCTGTATGAGAAGAATAAGAAAGAATACATTGTCTCTACTGAATCCCTGAAACACTGAACATTAAGGTTGGTGATCAAGAAATAACTGATACGTCTATGGTCTTGATGGTTTTATAGGTAAATACTTGTCCCCAGACTCATTGAGTTGTATACATTAAATATGCACAGCTTCTTACATACTATATTTCAATAACATTGTTTTAAAAATTCATAAATATCCTTTATCTGTCAAGATCAATTAACAAACATTCAGAATGAATACACAAAGCAATGGAGAAATATAATCTCATTGTCATATTGAAATTTGCGGCATTAAAAATTACACCAATACTGCATTCTCATTTTCAGTTTTCTGCATTATAGAAAAAGAAGAGTAGACAAATGTGAAGACCTTATTTTATACTGAATTTATTTCAGTAATAATATTTTAGAAATTCTTTTCACTTATTCTAGTAATAATCTTTTAGAAGTTCTATCACCTAGCTGAAATTCAGCAGTTGTTTTATCAAATACACAGTAATTGAAAGTTTATTCAGGAAGGGTTGTTTTCGGATGTGTATCATGTATGAACTTCTTAACTATACTTATATTTCACAAATTATACTATTTTAAAACTGCTTATTTCTGATTTTATGTTTTAATACCTGATTTTCTCAGCCACCTGCTTCAAGTTTTCTGGAGTTTGAGAAGGTTTTGATCACTTTTCGAATTTTCTTCTTTCTAGAAAATCCCTTTCCCTTGCTGCTCTGGCTCAGTTCTCTTTTAAAATTTCTAATAATCCCTCTCTGTGTCCTCTACTGGCTCTCTTCTTCCTATTAGCTGAGACTTTATTTTAGTCTTTTGCTTCACATCTTCCCCTCACTGTCTCAGTGATTCTGCCTTCTTCCGTGAAATGCATTTATGAGCTGTTTTGTTAACAACTTGTAAATGCGTATCCTTAATGTATATCCTTAATCTTAATAACTTCTCTTAGCCCACATTTTTAACCAGGTATTCCACTGATACTTCATATCAATACACACAGAGTTAAACTCATTTACTTCTGAATTTTTTTTAATTCTTTAGGTTGAATCACATCATTCATTGTCATCCAAGCTCAGACCTCAGAGCCATATTTTACTGTCCTGATCTCATCATAAAGCAGCTACCAATTTCTGCTGTACTACTCCTCTAGTATAGCTCATGTCTGCCTCTGCATCCTATTTCCATCATCATCATCTTCCTTTAGAATCTTCTTACTTGCCTGGAGTCAACCAACTACATAACCACCTCCCAACAGTTTTCGCTACCACTATCTCTGTAGTGCTCCAATCTATCCGACTTCCAACAGTGCATGAGCTATGTATAAGGCCTCTCTGCCTGACCTTCCAACCTGGCATAGCAAGTTTCATCTAAACTTGAGGGTGAGAGACAGAAGAAATGGGAAAGAATTTATCTTATTCCAAACAGGTAGCACAATAGATGCTCAAAAAATGTTTCCTAAAATGGAAAAAATAAGACCTCTGTATTATAGAAATGTTATCATGCCACTCTCTTGTATAAAGAGCTTTCATGTATTCATTGTCTAGAGGATACAGCTCCGACCCCTGGGTATGCCTTGGCTCTTGTATGCCGCCTTCCTCCTCCTCTCCTCGCTTGTGGCCAGGCACTCTGGGATCCAGCTGTATGGCGCCACTTGCTGCCTTTAGTAATGGGCTTATACACATACCACTCCCTTTGCATACAGTCTCTCTTTTATTATTTGTATGTCTATTTATCCCTCAAGATTAAGTTCAGAAACTTCTTCTACCCATTCTGAATTAGCTGCTCTTAAGATAAGGCTTAATTCTGTCATTAACACTTACTACATCTGTCTGTTTCTCTGTACCTCCCTCATTCTATGGTAAGCTCTTTCAAGTCAGAAACCCATCTTTTTTTATTACCCGGGGTCTACCACAGTACTTGTAGTTCATACATTTTGGTGAATATACTTTTTTTCTTGTATTGATTATGCAACCAACAACCTATATGTCCTTGGACAAACTATTTAACTGACTGGATTTAATTTTCCATTTTAGGCCTGTTGGCTTCTATGCTGTGCTACATTCAAACCAGAAAACTTGAATTTTCTAATGATTATATTTTTTCCAATGTCACTTCTAACTTTAACTTGTTGGAATTATTTTTTAATACATCGGTGTCATATACCATTATCTAATTTCCCACAATTGATTTTCAGCCTTATATTACTTTGTAAGACTTCATCATAATTAGAATCATATTTTGCCAAATATTAGAGTTAGTCACCTATTCACCTTATTCCATATACTATGACATAAAATGCTTTGCAGTATGAACCACGTTTTCTATTTGTTTTTCTGACTCTCGTAAATAACACTGTCCCTAGAACACAGATTTTAAAACTCTGTGTTAATGAAAATGTGTGTTACAATGAATACTAGGGCACATTGCAACAGAATTTGGATAGCAAAGCTGGGAGTCTGAGCAGAAGAATCTTCACCACATTGAGCAATATCTTCTTTTATAACCTCTATAATTTTGAGATGCAATGTTCCTATTTACCTGTAATTCTTTCCTTCAGCCCTAACCCTTCATCAACTTACTTTATATTCTCATTTGCAGGTACTTCAGGCAGTTGCACAGTAATCATGCCATCCAAGTTGGTCTTCCCAATGAAGGCAGGCTTGGTACGTAATACATCGGGCGCAGTCTTTGCTGTGACCCTGTGCTGCAGCCCACCAGCGCTGTTTCCACGATTTGTCAGCACGAATGAATATGACTTCTCAGGCTTCAGGTTGACAATTAATTTCTGTGTGGCTCGGCCATCCACTTCTTCTACCATTTTCCCATCATCATAAAGAATCTAAAGAAATATAACCAATCAAAAAACTCCGGTTATCAGCGAGGCAAAATATATTTTCTAAACCAATGTGTGCTTGCTTATGGAAAATGTATATAAGGTCAACTCAAATTTTAGGTGACTTCTTAGCCCATGAGTGGTCATAATTCTGGAGATCGCATCGGTTTTCCTGTCACTTCCTACTGCATAATGATAAAATGTTTCTAAGTCTATCAAAAATATACAAAGATATACATAATAACTTTTCAATTTTAGATCTCTCAGTTGTATGTGATCTTAATGGAATATGTGCAGAAAAGCTCTATGTAATATCAATATTGCTTATTTTCTTCAATGTCTTCAATGTATTATCAATATGGCTTACTTTCTAAAGGTTTAGGTTCCTCTTTCTAAATATTTTTATTAATTAACTAATTAATTAATTAATTTGAGATGGAGTTTCACTCTTGTCACCCGGGCTGGAGCGCAATGGTGTAATCTCAGCTCTCTGCAACCTCTGTCTCCTGGGTTCAAGCAATTCTCCTGCCTCAGCCTCCTGAGTAGCTGAGATTATAGGCATGTCCCACCACACCTGGCTAAGTTTTGTGTTTTTAGTAGAGACAGGGTTTCACCATGTTGGCCAGGCTGGTCTCAAACTCCTGCCCTCAGATGATTCACCCAACTTGGCCTCCCAAAGTGCTGGGATTACAGGCATAAGCCACCACTTCCAGTTTATATTTTTTACCTTCAAAAATGTTTCTCCATTTCTTATTTCATAAATATATACTTGCTAACATCTCTTAATGGCAAACCAGAGTTTGAAATGTGCCAAGAATTCAGGCCAATTAACAAATTCAGAAACTCTCAGAGTATTGCAGTAGAAATAGGTAGAAACCATGTAAATTTCATTCTCTGGCTGAAAAAGAAAAGCACTAGCTTAGATGTAAAAGGTTCAGGTTCAAAGTAGTAGGTAACCTACAAGTGATGCCAGCCCTGGATTTAAGTTCCTGCTCCGTCTTCAGAGTGAAAAAGGACACACTTGAAAAATACCAAACTGTCTCCCAGGTGAAAGTCACAAATGAGAATAGTAAGGACCATGGTGAAATCCCGTTTCTACTAAAAATACCAAAAAATTAGCCAGGTATAGTGGCATGTGCCTGTAGTCCCCAGCAACTCGGGAGGCTCAGTCTCAA